TTTTGAGTTTTTGCATTTACCGTTAGTAGTTTAATTAGAAATTTGATTTTAAGAAAACGAAAATTAATGCAAATTGTCATGTATTTCCGTGACACCTTTTATCACAGGTGCATTTGGTTTTTGGTCCACTGTTTCTTCCTTCGGGTCCAACACTCTGGTCATCTAGCGTTGCCAGGTGATAGATGGCTGCTGAGCAATATGAGAAGGTGTATGCGTGCCTTATTTGTTAGCCTTATTATTGTTGTTGCTTTTTTTCAAATGATCTCATTGAGGCATATTTTGTTCTTATCCATCTACTTTGCTATGTTTTAGACGTAGTTTTAGTTTCCTTAGTAATGCGCTTCCCGTGATATCTTAACAGGTGCTCCTACCGCACTGCGAAGCATCCCGTGTGAAAAATTCTGACTTTTCTTGGGTGATGATAGATGCCTTGATCAACTTATGGGGTTGTGGTCAATTCTAAATCGGTAATCTCAAAGAGATTATTTGCAAAAATTGTTTTAATAATTCATATTTCATAAAGTATGACTAGTTTGTAAGCGTGTAACTCATTGAGCGTCACCGAATTACTCGTTCACATTCTCGCAAATAAAACGATGGCAGCTCTGATTGTGTGTTTTTATGCAAGTTATTTGACCAGCTGGCACGCACTTCGCCATGTGAAGTACCACACAGAAGTATCATCCAATGCCAAGAATGTACAAAATTTGTGGGGAAAGAAAGGATACTGAGTTCCATAATCAAAACTTCCTCAGTAGTTCTGTGTTAGAGCAGTGGCCTCGTAATAACTGGCAAGCAGTTATCCACTAAAATGAATGTTGGTTGTTCTTCCCTTTTTTGGGGAATACATCAAAAGCAAGCTAAAGACGCTTTAATTTATGACGTACGACTCACGCAAATATCTGCAGCATCGGAAGGAATTGTAGGTGAGGCCACGAGCAGGACAGTACGAGTTCGAGCAGGACAATACGAGTCCTTTGCAATGTGGATCATCCGTTCTCAGGGGGAGGGAGTGAGGAGTTATCATGTATGGTTTCGCTACAGAACTCTTCAGCTTCCTGCATTCAAAGATAATAGAGCAGTACTCTATCGCGCCCTTCTAATCTGAACAAGCAAAGTCCACGATTCGATCTGTATTTTCTGCATTTTTGCGTCTGTGCAATGCAGAAACTTGAGGGAGGCATGGGGTAACATATAGTCCAAACGCATACTTTGTCCGCCAAAATTACGAGACTCCTGCAGATGAAATCCAGGCAGCTTAGTCTATTACTACAGGCGCGTTCTTAAGCGTAAAATGAACGTTCATATCTTCCTAGTTGGCGTTCGATATTGTCGAAACAATTGGTTTTTTTGCGTTTTTTGCAGCTACGCAATGCGGAAAACGCATATTGACGACAGGTTGTGTGTGTGTGTCTGTTTGTGCGCAGGACCCCTGTACCGATTTTTCATCTCGAGACCTACAAAAGCTACAGGGCTGAAACTTTGGGGCCTTAATCTACATGCACGTACGGGTCCCCATCTCCAAAATGGGCAGTCTTTCCCTCGTGGTACCCACGTAAGAG